GTCTATTTATTGATGTTTAAGTCTGTTCTCTTTTTACTAAGCCCAGTTACCTAACTGCATGGTTGCGCGATGCCACGTGAACCAAAGCCTTCCTTCTTACTACCACGGACGTAAAGGTGTCTATTAATACTAGGGAGAAGTGGGAAGAAGGAAGTCCTTGTTAGGGAAAGAAATGTCCAGTAACCCTGGGGATATCTAGACATCTGTGTGGTCTCACCCACAGACATCACCTGTAATGTCATTTCACCTATTTCTTAGTCACCACTCCAGGCAGGACCTGTAGTTAAGATCTTAGTGAGTGATTCTCAAGCTTCTTAATACTGCGACCCTTTAATACAGTTCCTCATGTGTGGTGACCTCCAACCATATTTTTGTTGCTACTTCATAACTGTAATTTTGATACTGCTATGAACTGTAGTGTAAATATCTGATATGCAGGATATTTGACACATAACAGGGTCACGGCCCACAGGTTGAGGACCAGTGCCCTTGTTTTTGTTTTGTTTTCTTTTTCATAATTGGTCTTTTGAACTGCATGTGAGGCTGGGGAGGTGAGGTGTAGGTGTGGGAGGTTGGTGTGTGTGTTTGGGATCAATACTAGGGCCTCTAACATGCTAAACACATATGCTAGCTGCTCCATCACTGAGTTGCACCCCTGGCCTATTGCCTGGATGAATTTTAGCAGTAGATCAGGTAAATTGACTTAGCGTTTCTGTGTGAGGAGAGGGCAAGTTCTGCCCTGAGGGGATGGGTTGCAGGCTGCATGGGAGATGGACGTTTGCACAGTTTATATTTATTCTAAAGGTTTATTATTACTTATGTGTCTGTGTGTCTGTGTGAATATATGCCACATATTTGTGAGTGCCCCTAGAAGTCAGAGGGAGTGTTGGATCCCTTGGAGCTGAAGTTACAGACCATTGTCGGATGTCTGATGTAGGTGCTGGCCGTGATCTGAGCCCTCTAGAGCGGCATGCTCTCGTAAACACCGAACCATCTCCCCGGGACTGGAAATTAGGACTTTGGGAAAGTCACAAATAAATTGGCTATTTCATTTTGGCTGATTCTTTCATTCATTCATTCATTCAAAGTCCTGCTATATAGAGATCAAGTTAGCTTCAAACATGAGGTCCTGCTGGCTCCATAGTACTGGGATTACAGATACGCACTACCATGCCTGTCACTGCAAATAACCTTAAAAGAAATTATTCATTTATTTAGAGACAAAGGCTTACTGTTTTGCTCTAGCTGACCTGAAACTCACTGTCTAAGCAAGACTTCCCTGGGATTCACAGAGATCTACATGCCTTTGCCTCCTGGGTACTGGGATTCAAGGTATGCACCATCGTGCCTGGCTACATGTTTGCGTTTAAAATTTACATGTATATATGTATGCCTGTTTCTCTGTATGTGCACCCCTGTATTTTCACTGCTCTCAGAGGCCAGAAGAGGGTGTCTGATTCCTTGGAGCTAGAGTTACAGGTGGCTACGTATGCCCATGTGGGTGCTGGAAACCAAACTCTGGTCCCCCATAACAGCAGCAAGTGAGCTTAACCACTGCGCCATCTCTCCAAATAATTTTTCCAATACCCTTACCATCAAGGGATAGACTTGCACTGATGGAGCCTCTGGGGGTAGCCCTTCCCCAAAGCTTCTTTGTCTGCTTCATGTCACCTCCTTTGGGACACTTGCTCCCCCAGTTGTTAGTGTGGTGTTGAGGTTGCCCTGTGAGGTGGGAACCCTCTGAACTTAGAATTCTTTGTGGTTTTGTTTTGTTTTGTGTTTTTGATTTTAAGGTATGAGTGCTCTGTCTGTCTGTATGCCTGCAGGCCAGAAGAGGGCATCAGGTCTCATTATAGATGGTTGTGAGCCACCATGTGGTTGCTGGGATTTGAACTCAAAACCTCTGGAAGAGCAGCCAGTGTTCTTAATGGTTGAGCCATCTCTCCAGGCCTGGGCTTAGAATTCTAATGCCTTAGGGTTCTCTGGGCCTTGAGCCAGTAACATCAGATCCCACATCAAGGTGTAGGCTTCCTTCTGTGGAAGCATGGAGCAGAAGCATCTTTGGTGGCAGGTTTTCAGTCTTGTAAATTTCAGTGACTTCTCCCCTTCCTTGAGCCTTAATTTGTTAAGGGCCATTTAGGACATTTGCCCCTGGTATCCGTCAGGATGGGCACCCTGGAGCAAACAGTTCGTGTACTGCTGACTGCACACAGTATGTCTCCTTGCAGCATCCTTGAGGCAATGGCTAAGAAAGATGCTGCTGCTTCTGGCTTTGTGGGTATGCCTTCTACCATCCCAGGAGCAGGCTCCCAGAAAGACTTCGGAAGGATCATCTCTCCTGCCACAACTCAGAGGTTGCTTTGGGCTTCTTCCTCTGGAGGTTGTCATGCACAGCGGACCTACAGATGGTTCATTGTGTGGTCCCACCACGATCTCATTTCAGGTCACTAAGGAAAAGTGTCCACCCTTCACTGAAGGGTTCTGGGAACAGCTCCCACCCCCAGGCTTCCATTCTGAACTTTACATTTAGATTGAGGAGCTGAAGTCCCATAGTGTTTCTTCAGCCAATCACAGGACATCCTGTGTCTTCCCGAAATCTTTCTTTCTTCTTTAGTAACAACAGCAAACAGAAACCAAACTCTGAGAAGGAACAGCTGTAGAGGACTCGGCACGTTGCTATCTTGAGATGAGTGAATGTCCTGTCTCTTAGGCTGTATCTTTGGACGCCATCTCTCTGTTTCCTTGTAACTTCCCCCTCCTTTCCCTTGGGCAGGGTTGGATTCGTGTCCTTACCTTTTCCTATTTTCCTTACAGTGCCTTTGTTTTAGCTGGTTTCTCTGCTGCTGTGATAAATACCATGACCAAAAGCAACTTGGGCAGGAGAGGGTCTGTTTGGGGTTACAGACTCTTTGAGGGGAGTCACAGCAGGGACTCAAGGCCGGAGCTTGAGGTAGAAACCTTAGGAGGAATTGCTTTCCGGTTCTAGTTATCTTTCCTATACATCTCAGGCTCACCTAGGAATGCCACTGCCCACAGTGGGCGAGGTCCTTCCATATCAATTAGCAAACAATAAAAGGTCATTCTGATGGAGGCCCTTCCTCTTCCTAGTCATTGACTGGCAAAATTCCCCTTCAAAGCTCCATAAGGTTCTTGCCTGGAGAAGCAGATGTTTCCCTCTCTTTAGTAACTGACCCAAATTCTTTATCAAAGAGGGCATTAGTGGTAATAATTTCTTTGGGCATGGCCTCTTGGTTTTATTAAGTTAATTTTATTTTAAGTGTATAGATGCTTTTGCCTGTACGTATGACTATGTGCCTTGTATGACGGGTGTCCGTGCAGGTCAGAAGAAAGGCATCAGATGCCCTGGAATTGTAGTTACAGATGGTTGTGAGCCGCGGTGTGGGTGCTGAGAGTCAAACTTGGGTCCTCTGGAAGAGCAGTCAGTGCTCTTAACTGCTGAGCCATCTCTCCAGTCCCACAAGGCCTCTTTGTGATATGGCTGATCTGAAATTAAGAGCCAGTTTCTGGCCGGGCTGGTCCTACAGCCTCCAAAACAATACAGAGAAACCCTGTCTCGTTAAAACAAAAAAAGAGCCAGTTTTTGAACTGTGGGGTCAAAGGAGATGACCCCCCCAAAGAAAGGACTGAATCCCAGAGTGGGCTTATGTCAAACTGACATCTCTTCTAAGGTACTTCCTGTAGCCCTGTGTACAAATGTTTTCCTGCAGTTCATTCATAATAATTGGCTGGAAATGGAGAAATGACTCAGAGGTTAAGAGCACTGGCTGCTCTTCCAGAGGTCCCGAGTTCAATTCCCAGCAACTATGGTGGCTCACAATCGTCTATAATAAGATCTGGTGCCCTTATCTGGCATGCAGGCATACATTCAGGCAGACCACTTTGTATACATTGAATAAATAAATCTTAAAAAAATTGGCTATAGGTAACTTGTTTGTTTTTTGAGACAGGAGCTCAGTGAGTTGCCTAGTGTATTAGTTACTTTTCTGCTGCTATAACAAGACACCGTGACCAAGGTAGCCGATAGAAGGAAATATTTGTATGGGCTTGCGGGTTCCAGAGGTGGTGGCAGGATAGCGGGGCAGCAAGTAGCATGGCAGCCGGAGTGGGATGCTGAGACCTCATGGATTTTGCTGTAAGAGTAAGTGAGGTGCTGGTGGGTTGTGCACCAGGAATGGCATGAGACTTTGAAACCTCAAAACCAGTTCCCAGTGATGCACTTCCTCCAGCCAGGCTACACCTCCTGGATCCCCCCAAATAGCGCCACCAGCTGGAAACTATATTTTCAAATACTACTCATTCAAACCTCTGCACCCTGGCTGGTCTCTGCACTCCTGAGCTCATGCAGTCCTTCTGCCTTAGTCTCCTCAGTAGCTAGGACTGCAGAAGCCTGTCCCTGCAACTGAGTTTTCAGCTGTCTTTTTTGGACTCATCTTCCGGGAGAGAGGTGATTTAAGTGAGATGGTCCGAGTCATCCATCCTAACAGGATCTGGTGTGCACCAAGCTTAGCTACTTGATTCGGTTCACTTTTCTCGAGATTGTACCTAAGTTTAGGATGATAGGAGGCATCTAGAGGCACCAGCTAGCAAGTTCTCCATGTCATTGGTCTTGGATTTTTGAGTGCTGGGGAATGGTGGTCTTTGGTGGTACTTTTGGCTTTGACTGCCAGGATTTTCCTTGTGGCTGTCACCTTGGACCCAGGTGCAGGTTCCCTTAGGCTTCAGGATCTAATCCCGGGCTGGGCTAGTCTCACGGTCTCTGGGAAGCTCCTTTGTGTTTTCTGTCAGGAGGGCATGGGATGAGGTGAAGATGGATACAGTGGCTGCTATTGGTCATAATCATCATCAGCTTTTTTTTTTGTTTGGTTTTTGGTTTTTTGAGACAAGATTTCTTTGTGTAACAGTCCTGGCTGTCCTGGAACTTGCTTTGTAGACCAGGCTGTCCTGGAACTCACTGAGATCTGCCTGCCTCTGCCTCCCAAGTGCTGGGATTAAAGGTGTGTGCCACCACCACCACCTAGCAATTATCATCACTTTAGCGCCAACATTTACCTAAATTTCCTTGGAGGTCTTAGTTGGGGAGAAGTGCCAAGAACTCAGGACTACCTCTGTTTGCCAAACCACCTTACCTTATTCTTTCCTTACCCCCTGTGAGGGGTAAGTGAGCGTTCAGGAGTCGGAGAACAGTGGGACCAGAAGGCAGGAGAATGTTGTCATTCCTCTCTGTGTTGACTGTCATCCTCCTCTGGGTAGCTTCAGCCGAACTCTTACCATCTATTGGCTTCAAATAAGTTATTATGGCTTTGTAAGTCTGTGTCTTCTTAAATTTTTCTAATGTTCTTGTTATTGAACTTGGGCGTCACAACCCCAAGGCAGGTCCTGCCACTACAATAAGCCAATTAAAAAGTCCAAATAAAACCAGAAAGTAGAAAAATTTATTCAACATGGCTATCCTGGGAAGAGGGATTGAGAGATCCAGGTTCGTCTTTGAGATCTTAAAGTGAGATTGGAATTTATATATAAAGTCAAGGATATGCACAGCTAAGCAGTCCTGGGCAAGGTGTGGTCCCACCCACCACTGACCCGCCCTTGTCTGAGCTACAGTCTCATGCTGTAAGATGGCCTGACAAGCTGTTAGAACCTTGTGAAATCTCTTCAGATACAAGGTCCCCTCTGGCTGGTTCCTTTCCTTCTCGGTGTGAGATTCCTGGAGAAATTCCTTTTTCTTTAGGGCCCATTGTTTTTAACAGTCCGGATAGTCTGATGGAGAGACAAAAATGTCTCTAGAATACCTTCCTGTCTGCTAGGTCTGTGAGATTCTGTCTGAGGGAAGTGGAGACAGGTTGCCCTTGGGTATGCTAGGAGGCTATAAGTGGCAGAAGGGAGATTTGAACATAGGGCATCTGGCTTCAGAGTAACCCACAAGTGCAGGGGGTCCAGGTGTTAGCCTTGCCAGGCTCCAGTCTTGGGATGTGTCAGGAATATGGGTACATATGGAGACTGTCGCACACTGCCCTGGCTGTCAACCAGGGCCCCCCTGTCTTTAAGTACATGGAGTAGTACCCAGCGGGCCATCCCACCACTGAGCAGCAACTGCCTGCCCTCACCTGCTCTTATTTCCCCCTAGCTTGGGTCTGCAGGGCTTCCGAGCACAGCTGGAGCTGGGTTCCGGAGGCAGCTGTGTAGGGTGCAGAAGCCTGGAGCTCACAGAAGTGATGGGGGCTGGGCAATGTTCTTCCTGGGTCAGTAGTTGGACATTCATTCATGTCACCAGTGTCTGGTTGGACACCTGCTCCAGATCCAGGGCTACATGTGTACTCTGCCCCACGCTGCACATCGTGTCTCTGCAGGGGTTCCTGTGGGAACAGAGGCTCGCCTCTGGTCGTCATGAGACCAGCAGCAGCTGTAATCCTGACCCCACCCGCACTCGTGGCATCCCTTTGCTGCTTTCTATCATGTGACACGGGAAGTGTCCCCTTCCTTTGAGGCCTTTGCTGCCCCCCTAAAGCCTGGAACAGGAGCTGGTGGCCAGGGCCCGCAGCAAACCTTGCTGTAGCTCCTCAGAGCAACTCTTGGGGTCACGGTGTGTCCAGGTGGCAGGATCACCTGCATCCTCTCTGAATGAATGGCAGCCAGGGACACTGGAGCCTTGGATGGGTTGGTTCCCTGAGTGCCCTTGGGGCCTCTGGGGAGCGGTAATGGTTAGGACAGACAGAAAAACTCCTTTCCCACTTTCTCCTTTTCTCTCTCAGCTTCGTTAGAGTAACATTTCAAATTCAATGTGGTAAGAGTTCAGGGACTCCTAGGCCCCCTTTACTGTGGTCCACCGGCTGTTTGAGCTTCTCTGCTTCCTCCTTCCCGCCATATGTGCCCCTCTTCCAGAAGACCACATAGACGTTTACGCCCTATAATTCAAATATACCTCCACTGTATCTCCTCGAGTTGTGAAAAAAGGCTTTTTGGAGAGCTCAGGGCAGACTTTCCGAGAAGCTCCCATCTAATTTTTCTACCTCTAAGTCCCTTTGAAACATGTCTCTCTGTGAGTATGAGGCCAGCCTAGTCTACAGAGCAAGTTCCAGGACAGTCTCCAAAGCTACAGAGAAACCCTGTCTCAACACCCACCCCCCCAAAAAAAAACAACCCAACCAAAAAAACCAAACACACATCTTCATGTTCTTCAAACACCTGGGTACTGCAGTAAAATGGAGGATGGAGCAGGTAGCAATTCCCACACAGATGGTGGGCTTGTAAGAAAGGAGCTTGGGGGCTTCTTCTGCTCCAGTGTGCCTGAGCACCCAAACGTGTTTCCCAGCACCCCCACCCTCCAGGCAGAAGCTGCGTGTGGCCCAGTCTTCAGGCCATCTTTTATGCCTTCGCCCACCCCTTGGGTGGCTGCCCACCTGTGCGGGCAGCCTTACCCACCTTTGATGGTGTATGTCAGATGTGTGTATCCTCAGGGTGGAGGAGATTGGAGAACACTAATAAACATATAGAACACATGTGAGATCTACGGTGTTGCAAGTCCTCTCTCCCTTCGGCACCGAAGGGCTTGCTTTCTAGACTTGCTAGAGATTAAGGGTACTACGTGACACTTGGCTGGGGGCCATGACCTTGGTCTTTTGCTGGCTGCATCTTGACCGTATCTTACAGCAGTTATGCTTGCCTTCGGGTGACACCCCGCCCCCATCTTTTAGATGTCCTGCCCTCGAGAAATAAGACACATGCTAAACTGAAGTTTGCACTGCTAGTGACTGCTACTCAGGCTCAAGCCTGAACTGCAAACAGTTTCAAAACCGTTGTGCATCTTGAAGTTCACATCTTACTGTTGGGGCTGTCCCCCTCTCTCACCTCCAGTCACTGTGAGATCCCCTGTGTCCTAGCCTGGGGTGAGGATTCTGGGATTTTTTTTTCATTGTCTGAAATTTCTTTGTACCTCAGTTTCCCCCAGATGTGAGCCTGCAGCTGTGTGTGAAGAGAGCTCTGAAGGTCACGATCAAAAGCTTCTAGTAGTTTTCCATGTGTTTGTTTGTTCTTCTCCGGCCCCAGACCCTCTCCTTGAAGGAGCTGGCCTTGACAGAGGCTCTAGTGGGCAGCCGCCCAGAGTCGGGGTACCCTGCTGTGCTCAGTAACTCTAACCTGGCCGGGCCAGCACCAAAGGGCCACTCTTCAAAGAGGCCCTTTGAAGAGCAAACATTTCCTTTCCTGAAAAGAAGGGAAATTGCAACGAAAACTTATTGTTCTGTGCAGACAATGCCCCCTTCGATCAAAGAGCGAGCGGGGCTTATAAAGGTAGATTCGCGAATTAAACCTGGGCGCCATCCTGCGTGTTACCATGGAAGGGAGCATGGTGGGCCTCTAAGACTGGTAAGACTCCATTTCCCCTTTACCTTAGGATCCTAGTCTAGGTCCAGTATAGTGTACTAACTGTGTCTCTAGCACATTCCCAAAAATGTCTACTGATAAATTATGATATCGTCAAGTTAGAATATTACTTTGTCACCGAAAATGGTATTTTCCAAGGGTATTTGATCTTAGGGGAAATATTTTTTAAAAACCTGGATATTATGCACAGAAAAAAGGAAAAGATTGCTAAAATTAGATTTTAGGGCCTGGGAGTGTATCTCAGTGGTTAGAGCATGTGTTCACTAACATTTGAGAGGCCCAGGCTTTATGTCCAGCAATGCAAATAAGCAAACAGTTTTGTTCACTGCTTATAGATCCTAAAACATTGTTCAGCAAACACTTATTGAATATTTATGTAATTAGTAAAATACATTTAAAGGAAGCTCATCTTTGAGGTGAATCACAATGCTTTGGCAGGGGGGGTAGGGCCATAAATTATTTTTCATTTGTGTTGTGACCCAACTCCTCAGAGTGGGGTGTGCTTTGTTCTTTGCTACACATAATCCTATGTTTGGTTCTTGGGTGCCAACCACATAGGGTATGGACTGCTTTAGCATCCCAGTCAGTGTTATAGGATGTTGAGTTTTTGTTAGATTGGTTCAGTGTTGTCAGTGAGGCTCAAATTGCGGGCTGGTTGTCCCTAGTAGCTACCCACTGTGGTTGGGAGCTTTTGTCTGATTGGCCCTTGATCTTACCTTTGAGTACTGGTTCCAAGAAGAAGCTCTGGTCACGTGTCACCCCGCTTTCTAAATGTTTCCTTTTCTGAGATGGAATTTTCCTACCTGCAGCATATGTTGACTCTGAGCTGTCAGGGATGGCGTCCGGTGCCGTCCCCTCCACCCTGTTGCCCGCTCTGTCCTTTTGCCTGATGGTGCAGGTCTGAGGTGGGTGTGAGGTCCTAGAAGGCTGCTGGCCTCAGAGAAGCTTTCTCTGGTCTAGTGGTACTCACACACTGCTGTTGGCCCCACGTGCCCCGTCCCCGCCTCCCTCCACCCACCCCCAGAATCTTCAAACTTCTTTAGCTATTTGTCTACAAACTACAGTAAGAATGAAATTTACTTGTGACCAAGTACACGCAGGGACATGTTGACTGATAAATTGATTGACATGTAAGTTTGTCGGACTTTTCTTCGTCTCTATCTATGGTACACACTATGTGTGTACATGCCCTAGAAATGGTTTGTGCATCTGTTAATTTCAGTGCTTTGAGTTTCTTTGGTTCATTTCATTCTGTGAGATTTGAGGGAAGAGCCCATCAGGAAGGCTAATAACCTTGTCTTTCAGAGTTGAGGACTGTGGGAGGAACTGGAAAAAGGTGCTGACAGAAAGAGAAATTTGAGGTTGTCCAGTCTGATGGCTTGAAAATCAAACAGAATCCCCGAAATGCTAACACCAGCAGTAGCAGCCACACAAAGGCTGGGGTTTTTACTTCAGGGTTGAAAGTTTTCCTTGTGGCTTAGCAAATAAATACCTTGTCTGCTCACACCATTCTTAAAATAATCCTAGCCAATGGAATCAGTTGTCTCCAACCAGGCACAGCAACAGAGCTGACAGCCCCAGCTTATTGAAACAATGTACACATATCTGTCCTTGTTCATTGGAAGCTTGAAACAAAGAAACTGCTTCTCAAAATGACTTTTCTGTAGAAATTCAGAATAGTTAGTTTACAATGTGCTAAGAGAAGCGTGTAGAAGTTTTAAGTATTGCCAGCACAGTGAGTCTTTGAAAAGGAAGTCCCTGAATTAGTGTGTGTGTGTGTGCACTGCTGCTCTTCTATATATATGAGTGATAATGAACAAGTTAGATCAATTCTTCTATACATCTATTACCTCAAATTAAAATACACACACACACACACACACATCTTTAAAATGCATTTAGTGTGTGGGGAGGGTGCGCAGGTGTGGTACCCCTGTGGGGCTCAGAAAACAACTTTCTGGGGAGTTGGTTCTCTCATTCTACTGTGTGAGTTGCCGGCTTCGAACTTAGGTCAGCAAGCGTGGCAGCAAACACCTTTATCCCCTGAGCCATCTCGCCAGCTGTAACCTGGAAGTTTTAGCATCATGTTTGGTTTTGTTGAATAAGCTTTTGGTGGAAGACACTTCTTTTTTGGGTTAGCTTTCTCCCTGCAGGGCCATCTTGGGAGGTACGAAGCGAAAGCCCTTGTGAGCTCTTTGAGGGAGGGATGCCTCTCTGTGTAAGGGCCTGATGCAGTTGGAAGTTTAGAAAATCGATGACCCATTTGTCCGTGGTGTCATGCCTAACTGCTATGGCCTCTGAGTTTGTTCTAGCCAGTGAAGGCCAGGGTGTAGTTGCCTGGCCTTTCTTGGTTTGGCTTAAGTAGGGAAGCAGTGTTAGGCAGAGTAGCACCCCACACAATTCAAAGTTTCTTTTCGGGCTCTCTTGTTCCTTGCTGTCCCATAGTGAGTGTCTTCCAGGGAGTTTTGCAGAGTCACTGCACAGCCTTGGAGTTAGTGAGCACCTCAGGGTCTTCGGAGACAGTTGCTTCCTTTTTCCAGCCAAATGTCCAGATGTGCAGTGGAGCCTGGCATTTTATTCTGACAAGCCTTGGGAACTGACGCAGTGGCAGACAGATCCTCTGCACAGCTGCACTGCCAGAGTACGGGACCCAGGCATTTTAGCTGTCCCTTCTAGCAGAACTTCCCAGTCTGTTTGACTCTGCTGGGTGTGACTTGCTTGTGCCAAGTGACTTGAGGATAGCATCATTCTTGCTAGATCAAGACCCCAGGAAGGGCCTGTGCCTACAGATACAAACCGTGTACTAGTAAATACTAACACCCAGAGACAAGACTGACTGGAAGTGTAAGGGACACAGGAAGCATTTCCACTGCCAAGGCCACATGATTGACTTTCTCAGTGTTTCTGTGGCTTTTTCATCTATCCAGAAAGAAGTACAAACAGGAACATGCAGAGCAATTGGATGGCCATGCCAACAGGGGCAGGCAATAAAGATAGAAGGAGGGGAAAGTCCGCAAACATGGCTAAGAATTTTGCATACTGTGCTCGATCGTATCTGGAAAGCCCAGCTTTGAGTACTTGTAGGCACGTAGGCGTAGGCATCCATGTGCCCACAAAAACCCTTCCCCGGGGAACGTGTGAAATAGCATGCCTTTCTGGAGGTCCTGAGCGGGTCTGTGAGACTGCGTGTATGTGTAGGCAGTTTTTAGGGTCATTTGGAGGAGCCAGCCCCTAGGAAGTGCTGGAACTCGGACGATTGCAGGAGAATTGGATTGAAAACCTGCCTGGCACAGAGCAGAGGCTTCAAAAGTGACCTTTCAACTGAACTGTAGGGTTGCGCTCTCCACATTACTTGCCTGGGGGCCCTTGCCTGGTCTGCCTGTTCATTTCTAGCTGGGCTGGTTATCTCTTCTCAGCCAGCCTGCAGATTGCACACAAAGTTCTGCAGAGGTGGGGCTCGGGCAGTGGAGTGAAAATGATAGCCAAGGGCCTGGCGGGTAGGAGGGGACAGAAATAGATAGAAGAAGATGCGAGAACGCAGTCACCAAAGGGGGCAGATTGAACTGAGAGGCAAGCAACCCTCCCCCTTGTAGGAGGTCTGTGTGTCGTGAGCAGCATCTCTACCTGGGTTTCTTCATTTGAAGTCATAGGTCCCACTGGGAGGATCAAAGCCTACGGTCTGCAGGAGGCTTAATAAAGAAACTGTCCTCAGGCTGAGCGTGTATAGGGTTTAACTTCAGCCTGCTGGGGCTTCTCCAGGAATCCCATTGCCTGGGTTGCACATACATGTGTCCTTGCTTTGCAGGTAAAAGAGTAGGTGCCAGTTAACATGCATAGAGATGTTTCCAGAAGGACTGGGTGGGTGTGAGATGGGCCAAGGCTTGTTCCCTCTTCCTCAGGAAATTCTTCACCAAAGAGGTGGATGCCAGGAGCTTTCTAATTAAGAGCAGGCACGGGGAGATGAACCCAGCTTGGAGAGGGATTAGAGGGGTGGACTTGGCGCTGCCAGAGCTGGTGTGGGGTGCCAGGTTCCAAGGTCCCCTGCTTAGAAGGCCTTAAATGAGGGTGTCCCTTCGAGTAATATCTGGTTATGCTTGGATGATTAAGTCTCCTGGTAATTCACTTAAGGTCTCAGGAAGCATGGCCAGAGAAAGGAGGCGCTCAAACATGCGTCCCACCCACCACTACCTCCCCAGGGGAGCTGAACCCTGCCAAGAGGAAGGATTTGGCCCAGAAGCATCAGACTAAACCTTGGCTGTGTTTGCCTGTCATTGAGTTCAAAGCTGTCTGCCTGGTGCAGGATGTGGCAGATGGGCATTTGAAGTGAGAAGAGAGAGAGGATGTGAAGTTGGTCCATAAGGAGTCATGTCAGGGCCCTGCCACCCCCAGAGTCACCCCACTCACTGTGACAATGTCAGGGTCCTGCCCCCCCAGAGTCACCCCACTCACTGACAATGTCAGGGTCCTTCCTGTGCCTCCCCGAGGGTCTCCCCATTCACTGTGACAATGTCGATCGAGTAGACAGGATTCCCTAATTAAAATGATTTTTACCTCCTTGTAGGAAAAAAATGAAGGGATCACAATAGGAATGGGGTACTGTGAAATGGCAGGTATTATATGATTTTTTTCAGTTTTAATTACATTTTTTCTTATGTGTCTATATGTGTGGCAATGTGGGGTGTGAGTGTAGTGCCCTCAGAAGCCATAAGAGGGTGTCAGATTCCTCTGGAGCTGGATTACATGTGGTTGTGATCCTCCTGACATGCATTCTGGGAACTGAATTCTGGTCCTCCGCAAGAGCGGTGTGGATTCTGAACGACTGAGCCATTTCTCCAGCATCCCCATGGTTTTTGTTTATTTTAAACAGGGTCTTACTATGTCCTGGCTTGGCTGGAACTCACTATGTAGAGCAGGCTGGCTTGAACTCACAGAGGTCCACCTGCCTCTCATGCACTGTGATTAAAGTTGTGTACCACAGTGAC